CCGCAACTTTCACTTCAAAGTGCCGAGCGCTTGGCGAAGGAACATTTGCTACCTATTTTTTTTATCGACCTAGGCCAGTCGCAGCAGTGATTGGAAAGCTAATGACAAGATAGCGGAACTCTCATCAGGTTTGACTTGAAGGGATAGAATGGAGACTGTTATATCTATGCTTATGTGTCTACCCCAAGATAAATTGATTAAGCTATGTAACATTCCCATGATAGGTGTTAAGAATGCTAAACACAAATTAAGTAATTGAAGATATGTAGCTGATTTTCTAAAGGATATCCGCTCCTCATCAGCCACAAAGAATAACTCTGAAAAAATTTTTAATAAAAAAGACTCAAAATTAAAATCTGACAATCAAATCTTTTCGTGCAACAATTTTTATTTCATTCAACTCAATATGATTTAAGGTTCTTTGAAGTCTAAAATCTGTATTGTAAAAAAGTTGACATTTGTACCCCACAAAAGTATAAAAATAAATACATCTTTAGATAAATCAAATTTCCTTTAATCTTGCCTTAGTTACGAAAGCTCGATTACCTTGATATGAGATTAGAAGTGATTTTTTATGTCTTCTGATGATACATGTAGCACATGCTTTAACACTATGTGTTATATAATAATTGAAGATCCTTTTATAATATGATTAACTTTAATGATGTAGAAATGTTGAAGAAATATCATGGGTAAAACCGTAAATACACGCTGTAAAAAAACGTAAAACCGTTAATAAAACCGTGAATTAACGTTGCTTTTTGAAAAGAAATGACATTTTTGTGAGCATTTTCAATAACTTTACTGCTGATTTTCAGAACCTGAGAATTGGACAGTCTTAATCATTATAATTGTTTAACTCTCCTTCCAAGGAGGTCATTGGCTTCCAACAGTGCATTACAGTAATTTACAAACATTTATAGGTGATATATCTTTGGTTTAGGAATATTTTTTACAATAAGTGGGCTTTAGGTGATCGCCATATCATGTTAAAATAGGTGGAATGACGTTTTTGGTTTTTGTTAAACGTCGGCATTCATATTTAGTGTGAGGTACCTTTGGCTAACAACAGTATATCATTTCATACCGACAAGCAAATAATGCAATTCTGCTTAAATCAATCTATTGGTTAAAAACGTGTACTTAATATCCCCTATTTCAACATTATTTTTGAAGCAGATTTCATACTTATTACATCAAATGAAATAACAGGTTCTATTTTACATTGACAGTGGCTTTATTTTTGGTCCTCTTGCAGATCTAACACTAACTAATGTTTCAAAAGAAATGGGGGCATCTCAGGTTGATAATGGAAACACAGTAAGTTTCAATAATTTCAGGTATATTTGTTTAGCTTATCATTAGCTTGGTCAGCTCATTTAAATCAAATATTTCATGTTATAATTTACGTGACAATGTAAAGTAAAGCCCTTCAAATTGTTGGAACTTTTATATCGAACTTGTTGTGTGTTTACAAATTTCATTGTGTTATGAACCTTATCAAATCATCTATAGTTAATGAATTGTCCGTAGCGGCTAAACAATGGACAGACATAATAGTGGGACACACGATTTCCAATAATTTTTTCAAAGCTTTTGTCACTACTACAGACTTTAGGGGAAGTCTGCACTGAATTGTGTATAACAATTTTCTGTTTCTTATGAGAAGGTGAATTGGCAAGCAAGTCATCCAGAGGTTATGACCCACACCTTTCCAATAATGTCACATTGGCGTCATTCAGCTAGGTGGATGAACAATTCCCCAACAAGTTGTACATCTATACATGGTTCATTTCAATGGCAATCCACTACCTCCACTACATTTAATACTAACACGTTATCAGTTCTCAACCCCTTATTTCAATACTATTCATTTCTGTAACATAAACAAATGTTGCTTTAGATCACACTCTTTTCAGCAGCAGTATTGGGGGGGGGGGGGCATTCGTCAACAAGTAATTTAACAATTGGGCAGGTGGAATGCCTCAGACATTGGTGCAAGATTTGTGTAAATGCAATATAACAGCTCAATTTCAATTTTGGCTTAAACTTTTTATACTTCTATACAGTCATATGAAAGTTTTTGTAGGTTATTGTACTGTAGCCTGGGATATGTCAATCACAGTGGCAACACTTGTCCTAAAGGGAAAAGCCATCTCACAAAGAAAATAAATAGAAAAGATTTTAAAAAAATCAATGTATATTTGGGTTTGGAGTCATGAAATTAGATTGCAAGAATTTAAATAAAATGCACTTGGGTGGTACACTTAGGTTTCAAGGACCTTGATATCTTGCCCGGATCATTACTGTTTCAAAGTATGAAATGTTCCTGTTTAGGCTGCGAGATATTAGTCCAACGTTTGTCAATTAATTGGTCTGATATAAGTATATTCCCAGATGAGTCTTGATTTCATGGAATAACTTACTTACAAGTGTCTATTATATATGAACATTAATAAACTTTGAAATTGACAGAAGGTCAGTTGGGTGAAATAAAATTAATTAAAAACTAACAAGTATACACAAAAAGCATTAGCACTGTATAGACAAGTTCATTTGGCGGAAGTCGGGGATTATCTTATGTCTGGCTAAAAAAAATTAATCTATCCTCAGTACCGGGGAAGACACCGGTACCTGAGGGACAAGCTTGATCTTTGCGGGTACCAAAGGCAAGCTTTTGGGCCTACCCTTGGGAGTGTTATCCCCAGGTAGTTTTTGCATACCAAGGGAGGCAGGTATAGAGTTAGGAGCCGAGCCAGAACTTGAATTCATTCATTTGTTGTGGACGCACGCACTCTTATTGGTACCAAGAGGTCTGTTCCCACCACGGTCACCTGTAGGGGGCGCTAACGCGCCAGATTCTTAGGGAGGTAATCCCGGTAGATAGGTAGCTTTTCCCTGGGTTCCGTTGGATCCTCTCATAACTCAGGAGAAGTTGAGAATGATTGAATTCAGGTCATCATTTTTACCAGTAATGAAGTTTGCATCTGGATTATAGTTAAAAGAAATTGGAAAATAAAAAACAATATTGAGGAATGAGGATATTGTTTTAGAACGCCAATATCTATCAAGCAGTTATCAGGCTTAAAAGTATATTGAACAAATACTTATTTGGAGCAGAGCAAACATGTACCTTAAAACATAAATGGTATCAGGTGCCATGGAGGAGAAGGTATGTCCTGTCGACCGGCATGACGGAGCAAGCAAAAAATCCTTACGCAATTGAGTGTAGAAATATTGACTTAATATCAAGCATGAAAAAAACTGGACAGTATTCGACTTAATAAGAGATTGTATTTGCTGACAATGTCTTTGTGTCGACCACAGAACATTCGAAATGTTGAACATGCCATACTGTTGATATCCTGGCTCCATCATCTTGTTTATCAATAACTTAGCTCATTTTAGAAATTGTTCCTACAAAGAGCATATTAAATGCATAGAAAAGATTGAACCAATAGATGGGAAATGTAAAGTTGTAAAATTCAATTTAAAAATAATTTTGTCAAACCCAAAACAGGTATTTTATTAAAATGGAAATTTCTTTTTCTGCATATAATAATAATTATATAAACAAATTTGATATAAGAATAATTTTAGATGAGAAAGCTTTGTCGATTGTGAAGATGCACTGATGAACACCTTACGCAGCACAGCTAAGGCTACAAAAAGGAGGCAGAGCTTAATTTTATACGGTAAATATACAGTAAATAATAAATAGAATACAAAATAGAAATCTTTTAAAAAAAAAAAAACTATAAAATTTTAAACTGTAGGAGAGAATTAAACTACATCAAAGCTTACTATAACATGTTTTCTCATCAGTTAAACCCCGCATAAACAAGTCACTGATCGCACTGCTCTTGTCAATATGACGTCATTCCGTAAAACGTGTTGCAGTTGGTATGCCGAGAAACGCAGATCAAGTAATATTTTAACAACAAAGAAATGTATTTTATAATGAAATGAAATATTATTTACAGATATTTCAGAGGTCATTGATTTGGGTGGAATGTCTTTTTTTGTGATTTTGGTCATAAATTATTCGTACATTTCCTGGTTAACTGCAACAGCCGTATATTTGCATGCAGGTACATTGGAGTGTAATCTAAGGGTCTTCATAAATCGAACTCTTGCAAGGGCATACGCTCAATGGATCATGGCAAGCTTCTACTCATAAACTCTAGAAGTACTAATCTATTTGAAAAGTGCGGCAATCCTCTTGAAATCTTGAAAATCAATTAATTATTTCTATATTTAATACAGCTGACCAACAAAAAATTCAGTATGCGGTCATACAAATATGATTTTAACAATGCAATAATAAAATCTAAATGGGATCACAGCACTTTTCACAAAATACAGTGGATGTTGAAAACATTTATAAATTAAACTTAGAATTACAACTTGATATGCCCTTCATAGTCGACCTCAATACTGCAGGTATATGTGTCACATCACGTGACAAGTCTAAATATAACATTTCATCGTTAATAATCATAATTAAATCTGTCCAATATAAGTAAGGTACCTAACAGAATCGCCATTCTGAAAAAGAATTAATTTTCATTAGAAAAATTGATATTTCCATTGTGGTCCTTAACTGTACTGCATAAGGATATGACTAAAATGTTGATGGTGCAGTAGTTGACAAAAAAATGGAATAAAGTATAAAAGATCAAGCACACTAGTAAACACACTAGCATCTAGCACTCCACAGTAAGGAAGTGGTAAAATATATTTACAGTCAAAAATCAAAAAAGTTTTTCTTGTATCACAAATAAACTTTAAGATTGAATCATATTTTGTCAGCTTTAGGTATAGATCTTCAGGTTGAAACGTTGGTTTTAAATATTGAAAACATTCCATTCTATTTCGAGATCATAAATTAAGACAGAACGCAACAAAACCATCTCAATTATTTTTTTATGGAGATTTAGTAAGAGTATTATTCAATGCAATTTTGACGGAGTTCACACTTCTACGAGATATAGAAATGTTTAATTTCCTTTCATTTGGTGGTATCTGTACAAAGTGACAGTAGGACTATCCTCATTCCCGACCATTAATGTGTCCTGGTCATCAAAGCAAAGAGCACGGAGTTTGTATGGACATTGATCTGGTGTGAGCAGAAGTGTCAGGAATTGACCATCCATGTCCAGCAAGTGGACACTGCAGCAATTATTTAAACGATCCTTATAGCCGTTACACACCAAAATAAGTCCTTGGTTATCTGTACAGATTCCATAAGGTATGAATCCAGATTGAGACTGGTGACCAGAGTAAGAATAACGATACTCTCCCAATCCAGTCACTACCACTACACTTTTGGCCCAGGAGTCAGACGTACAAATGTCAAAATTGATGTTTTCTGTGATGTAGCATACACTATAGTATATATGCTTTCTTTTATCATTTATCGAAATGTCTTGTAGCTTCCTCCCTTTTGGGCTGTATCTATAAATTTTCATGTAGTCGTCTCCCCACATCCCGACTAATATGTGTCCATTAATGCGAGAAGCACATATGGCTCCAGGTTCTTCGTCCCTTGTGCATATTAGTTTGGTGGTTGACATGTCACTAGTCACTCTGTAGATGGCTCGTTTTTCATTATCTGTGTAAAATAACTCTCCTTCTGTTGTCACTATGTGGTTACTACACACGCCCCTCATATGTATTGGTATTTTCTGTGCTAAGTGTCCTTCCAAGTCAGACTGAATGAGGTAACCAGAATTATCACTTGCCCAAAATTTATCCGATAGTGCTGATAAATGTGAAACACCAGATGCATCAATAGCTACCTCATTTACTTTTGTAATACAAGAACAAAGCTCTTCAGATGAATTTATTTTAATTTCACCAAACTGTGTTGCTATTTCATCTGTATTCAATGTACCTGTAATAAATATTGGAAGTTTTTGTTTTGCTAGGTTAGGCGTTTTAAGTTGAGCTAATGAAATATCAGTGTGGAATTTGAGTAGTTCACTAGGTTTTATTGATGGCATTTTTCGCTCGTAATCTGTAACAGTCGTTTCCAGGTAATAAATACACTCCTGTGTGTTCTTCTCTTGTTCCATCAGATCATTTAGGATAGAGTTCTTGATCTCGTCTAGCTTTTCACTAGCGTTTGCCAATATTGTGTCAACTGCCTCCCGCAGTTCATCTGCACACTTCTTCATAGATAACCTTAACTCAGAGATTTTCTTCTTGACAAATTCTCTCCTGTCTCCAAGTGATTTGATATTTTCTTTAGCTTTTGGAATGACTTTTCCCCAGATATTCATCAGTTCCGTCTGGCATAGGTGTAGAGTGTTATTGTAGATGGTTTCGAGGTCACTCACTACATGATCACTGTGATTTAGCGCAAAGCACGTAGAACAGATATAATTATGGCAATCATCGCAGTAGACATCTATATCTTGTGTGGGGTGGATACTGCATTTCTCTGACGGAACTTTTCTTTTCCTCTCCTTATAGAGAACAATCTCATGTCCAATGTTCTGCTCTAGATGTGGCTGCTTGCATTGGTCACAGATTCCCTGATGACAGGTATTGCAGTAAAACTCGGAGAAGTTCCTACAGGATTCTGTGTCACACTCAATAACATGCTGGGCTGAATTTGGTACTTGGTCCATGATTATCAATCATCAAGCTAAAATGATTTATTACAAATGATTTGCGTAAATAATGGAATTTTCTCACATGAAAGATTATCAAAACCAACATATTCTGAAAAAATAGATATAACAAACTCTTTACCTTTTTGTTTGATGTCGTAAATGATTCTCCTTTCACATTACTCTATCAGGCATGGTTTATGTCAGCCATTTGTAAAGCATGTTTGTTCAGGTCGATGTGATTACTTCTATAACATTTAAATCTCCAATCTTTATTTACATAAGGCGTGTTATTTAAAGAGAAAATATGGCTTAAATATTGGGCAGTAAAAAGATTATATTCTTTCACTGTGCAAAAGAAATGTGCTAAAAATTGAATTATAATTTTTATTTGACGTTTTCATTTATTACTAATAAATATCCTCTAAGTACGATTATTTTATAATATATATAGATCATTTTTACAGTACCCTTGTTCATATATTAAAGGATATAATCAAAAGGTTGTTAATAAGACATAAGGGGATAAGACATTAATAAGACATTAACCAAACATTACTTGAACTTACCGACACTTTACGTCCATTAATGGGTATTTTAAGGGGATGAAGGACACACGGACAGATGACTCAGCAAATACAATATACCTTTAAGTCTAATGCTGACTGGCATTATTCAAACAAACTGTTAGGCCATTATTTTCACACCGAATTGTCTTCAGATTTTTCCGTTTACCAGACCATGACAAGGAGCACATGATGGGTATGACCGCTCGACAGGGGATACTCACTCCTTTATGGCAACTGATCCCACCTCTGATGTTTTAAGATGTCCGTGTTTGCTCTGCTCCTTATTCGTTTCAATGGATTCTTAGCTTGATTACAATTCGTTACCTTCATATTTCAGTTTAACTACGTCTGCTTGTAATCATTAACAAATCATGCAATTAATAGATCGGTCCCTTCCTCGTTTACCAACGCTGTTGGTCCAATACGTTGGTGGCGTCATGCACAATCTGCTAGTACAGCAATATTATACTCGTTGAATACATGGGCAGTATAATTACGTAAAAAGGTCATAATCAACGTGCACATGTTGAGGTATCTTGTGAAATAGGAAACACAAAAATTATTTTTGGAATGGTTGTTGAAAGAAATCTTATGTGTGCATATTTTATTTTCCTTAAATATCTAAAGTCCGATTTCATAGTTGATTTTCCCGTACTCGAAAAAATAAACATAAGAAATGTAAACATCACACGTTTTCGTCATGTTGTCTTGTTTAACGGTGTCCTGTGCAATATTGGGGTCGATTTTACCTTTCAATTTTTTTTTACAGGAAATACATAATTTGAAGGATCTAAATTTCAATGTCAATTTTCAAATACAAAATAACGAAATATTTTGTAAATCTTTTGTTGTTGTTGATTTGTACATACTTTGTTGTTGTTGTTAAAGTTGTCATAATAAGTACACAATTTTCCCTTCGCAGATGCAGTGTGTTAAAAGAAACTTGGTATTTTAAATTTTTTAACTATATTCATCTTCTGAAATATCTCAAGATACCTCTCCACATACCAATTCTATAGTCTTTGCTTAAAAATTCCCAATAAAGACAGAACAAGTTGCTGTCCTTTAAAAAAAGGACTGCAATACGTGGACCATATGCATGTGTTTCTAAACGAAATTTTCCAGGTTTAGGGATTTTACAAAGGTGTAATTAAATTAATTTTTTTTGTAATTTTCATCGTTATTTAAGTCTGCTTAATTAGGCTGTAATGATAAAAAAAAATCATGACCCTGAAATGATATGAATATGAAATGTTGATCTAAGTATCTATCACAATTGTAATGTAGCCATTAAAATTAACAACAGAATTAAACGAGGCTTAAGGTAAGGTTGGCGATTACAGGGAGATAACTCTTATAAGTCACTTAAGCGTTTGAAACCGGCGGAATTTAAACCAGCGATACTAAGCATTCAATCGCTAATGAATTTCGTCTGTCAAACCATGAACAAACAAAGGACATTTCCAGTAGAAAATCGTATAACAATTTAAAGTGCTGGAATCTCGGAAGAATTTATCGGACATATGAAAGACGTTTAGCGTGATGCACGATTGATGACCCAATAAAAGAGGACTAGTAAGTTGTAAAGTCTTTGAAGTTCTTTACAAGTATTTATTAACACATATACAAACATATATACAGATCCGTAGGTTCTGGCCCGGGCCGACTCCCCGCTCCGCTGCTGTCCCTGACACGTCCTGTCAGCTTGGCATCCACGTGTAGAAGAGGTCCGTGCGACTGTCCCGCCGTCTGAAGTAATACAGACAGTAAGTCGTACCACGGGACAGTCGCACAGATACTACACTCTCCCCTGTTTTCTTTGAAAGGCTGGAGTCTACCACAGGAAAGAGGGTCCGGAACCATCTCCAACGTCGGGGCGCTGTAAACACCCTCCCGGGCTAACTGCCCAAGAAATACAAGTGCCAGAGCAAGCTCCAGGCAAAACCACACCCAGGATTAATCCTAGGTAACAAGTCCGGGATTACTCCCAACCAGGTGGTATGTCCGGGATGATCCCCAGACAATCATCCTACATCTGTTTAACGATAACCGAGTGGGCCAAGGTCATCAGGCCCACTCACTACTGAGAAACTGTGACACCAGTCACACCATCAGGCCCTGGAGGGTAAACTCACCCTCCGGCGTCGCCCACGCCTCCGCCTTTATCTGTATAAATGACATGCACTGTTCTCCTCCGGTGTCACACTGTCAGACGACAAGGAACTGCCAGAATCAAATGGGGTTGTCCCCACTTCCGCATCATGGTCCTTCGTGACCCCATCTATATCTTCCTCCAGGGTGGGGCCTTTGTCCACAGAACTCAGTGATCCCACAGAAACTTGACCATAGGCCGCCTCATTCGAAGGTTGGGCTGGTCTTGGGGAGAGAGGTGTAACACCGATATCCTCAACTGCAGAATCCAATAGAGACTCCTCCACCATCTCTACTTCCAGGCATGACACGCACAGGCTAACAGCAAAGCCTTGAGATTGGCGTGACTGCCCAATTTGTATACAGGTCTCCTTCCCCTCATTCTTGGGTGATACCTGATCAGAACTACCAGGGCTGGTCCTCCCAAAGACCTGAAACTCCCTAGTCCTATCCCGGGCTGGTCCAAGTGGCTCCGGAGTGGAGTGGGGAGCCACAAGCTGCCCCACTTCCTCGTCCAAGGATGCCTCTTCCTCCTCAGCTGAGAATAGCTCCGGCGATTGGGGCGTCTCAAAGCGGACCCTTAGCCTGCGCCGCTTGCGCCTACGCCGCATACAGGAGGGGGGTTGACTAGCCCCCTGCTCCTTACTCTCCGAGTCAGTCCTCTCTGGGGACTGCTCTGGGTTCATAAATCGAACTGCCTGGGAGGGCCCTCCCTGGGATCCAGGCCTTCCACTCCTTGGTCCCCTCTCCTGGGACTCAGGCCTACGATACCTCTCACCAAGGGGTCCCTTCATCCGGGCTCCGCCCCGCGGCCCATCAGTGGCTACTGTCTTCCCTGTAGCTCGAATGGGGCAAATTCTACGGAAATGCCCCACCTCTCCACACTTAAAACACACAGAAGGCTTCCGCTTATGAGCCGTCCATCTGGATGGCGGGGAACCAGCCCTCCGAGGTTTCGGAAAGGGGGCATATCCTTTCTGCCTCAAGGCCTCCTCAAGTTTCTCTATCCTGCTCCGGAGAGCTTCAAGCTCCTCCCTAGCATCCACATTTCCCATCCCAGGATCATCCCGTCCAGTGTCCTCACCGAGGATCAACTTCCGCACCTCTCTCTTGGCTTTAGGCCCATGTAGCCGGGAGTGCAGGTAGTATTGCATTCGCTCCATGGCTTCCTCCACAGTCCGGGGATGTCCATCAAGGGCGTAAAGGCCAGCGTCTTGGTCCTCGGCTCCATAACACAGCCTAGGTATGGCATGTGTGTGCACGTCCGGCACACAAGGGAAGGCTCACGTTGCCAAGGTCAGCACCCTGTCTGCCCACTGACGAAGTGACTCTCCTGGATTCTGATTGGCAGCCTGGAAGTTGAGTTGATGAGTGAGATCTGGGGCAGAGGAGCCAAAACGCTTCTCAAATCTCTGCAAGATCTCATCTAGGCGGAGCTGGCTACTGGTTTCCAACAGCAAGGTATAGTATTCGCTTGCTGCCCCCTCAAGGCAGAAACAAAACTGGTCGTGCTGCTCCTCCTCTGTCCATAGCTGGCTGCGAGATAACCTAACGAACTTGTGCAAAAATGCCTTCCAGCTGGTCTTACCATCATACCTAAGGTCCTTATACCGGGGCTTACCCCCATTGGCTGCCCTACTTGGGTATGGTGTGGTGCCCTGGTAACCAGATGAGCCATAATGTATTGGTGTACTAAAGTTGCAAGCCTGGTTAGCCGGGACTGACTGACTAGCATAGTATCCCGGATGGGCTGCCCCATACATGTTAGGTTGAACATGTGCTATCCTCTCCCCCTCCCTTCCAAAATGGCAGGCTGGGGTATTGGGATGGGCAGGACTACAAGTCATTGACACAGGAACACTATGGTGCTGCAGTGCACTGGGCACAGCCATACCATGGAGTGTGGCTGGAGTACTCTCGCCTCGATACAACACAGAATGGGCGTGGTCGGGTACTGGGGGTTGGGCATGCCTACCCCCAGGATTGATGTACACTGATTGGGGCGCATGGTAAGGTGTGCTTGTGGAACTAGCATATAATGATGTAGGTTGGGGTCTGGCAGCAGTCACACCAGGGTCTAAAGGATTTACTTGTGAATGAACCATTGCTGGGGACACTCCCACATTTACAGGGGCTGGGGCAGATATAGTGCGTGGCATTGAGCTACGGGGTTGCAAATCATCCCCAGGGAAAGAGGGCGCACCAAAATCTGCTAGACTAGGTTGGCTCTGTATGGGTGCGGGGTCCCAGGTGAGCCCTACAGGATCTACGGGCCTCACAGGCCTCTCGGGTTGCTGA